GCTTTGCTTGGCTCGAATATTCTAATTTAAATAACCTTTCAGAACAGGAGGGGCCCTACACCCCTAAGAACTCCTAGGGGTTTGTACCTTGTGTATAAATCTTGAAGTGTCTTATTTTTCTTTAAAAGATACTTGAAAATATAGAACAGCTGTAGTACTGGTGTACCAATAGCATGAGAACCCTCTCAAATTAATTTTTATACCATTGTTCTCTGTGTGCAGAGCAATCTAGCACTGGTATGCTGACAATAAACAATGACAGAGGCTTAACCAGGGTAAAATGCATTTCAACTTAGTAACAAACCGACCCGCCTTCAGGCTGCCTTTTCTAGGTTTGTCACAAGGGCACCAGAATCTGACTCTTGCCCATCTTCAGATTTCACTCTCAGATTTCGAATGTATTGTCCAGGGATGTGCAAGAAAACCATCTGAAAGCACAATATTATTGTAGACAGAGGAGCACCAAGCGCAGTCACATGGGAGTGTCTGGGGGAAGCTCTCTAGCTGACTGGAGAAAAGGAGGCAAGCCATGAAAGCTATAGAGGAGTTATGCAGAGGAGGTTTTTTTTTTTTTTTAAATTTCTTTCTGTTTATTGCTCCAACTTGTCAATTTTTCAACACATGGAAATTATTAATGCAACCTGCAGTCGGAAGCTAGAACTTCTTCTAGGCAGATAGAGGCCTCCTGCATGTCGTGGATTTTACTATGGATGAGTATCGAATTAAAAATACTAAACCCCCAAAAAGCTTCAATTAAAAACTGTGCTACGAATTTTTGAATCTGTGTTGGAGATTGTGTACACACATGCAACATTTTACACATGCTATTTATAATGTCATTAGCTGAATTGGGTGACGCTTTTCTCGTGAATTTTCATTGGGTATTGTAATGAATTGTGGGCACTTCAATAGTTTTCTGTGAATCAGACTTAAATGTGATTGTTCAGGAATACATCCCACTTAAGCATTCAGGCTGAAACCAGCAACAATTGGCCGTGACCTTTAACACGCCTGCTTTCCAAATTAGTGCCGACCATTAATCACACCGAGCTTACATTTTATGATTCCCGGGCCGTTCCTCGCGGGCCTCCTCCCTCTGCTTGCCCCCTCCTCGGCGGAAACACACGCATGCACACGGAAACATCTCACTCTCAGCCAGGCCCCCGCCCGATTGCCAGCTCTGCCAGGGTAAAGCGCCGCCCTTTGCAGCTCGTCCGCACAGGAGTTTCTATTGCAAAACCAGTGGCCAGGGAGGGCCCCCGAGCTGCACGAGCAGCGAGGGTAGGCACGAGGAAAAGCCACCACCGCGAAAGGTAACCGCCCGGATCTTGGCGCTGATTGTTCAGCAGAGCCAACTCCGGTATCTTGGCCCGAATGCTTCTCCACTGCGGAGTTATCACGCTCAGCATCCGAACAATATGGCCAAGAGCCTGGTGGGAGAAGATAGTGCCCCTCCGCAGGCCACAGCTCCCCTGGCCTACGTCACCGCGGATCGCGGGGCGCGCTCCCCGGCCCCTCCTCCTCTCTCCTCCTACTGCTCCAGCTCCCCTCCCCCTCCCACAGCCCCTCCCTGCCAAGTACCAAGAAAGCTTTGGGGAGTCAAATCAAGGTTTTGATTCGTAGATTCAATATATTGTCACTAACTACGACCCACGGAAGGTAGTTATAGGGTAAGATGGGGTGGGTGGGGGCACAAATGAAGTTTTCAGAACCAAAGCAAAACGAGTCGAACTTTGAAGACACAAGTAAACAGCCACGGTGATAAACGAGTCCAAGCTCCACTCTGCCCCAGAGCTGTCCTGTTCTTCCCGAACCATGCGGACTCCCAGACTCGCTCCCGTGAAGTTCAGGGAACACGCGCGCTTCTGAGGCCGCGGGCAGGGTGGACGCCGTTTGGTGTGGGCTCTCGGTGTGGGCTTGAGGTTCAGCGTCCAGGTGCTTGAGGCGGCAGGACAAGCATCCCAGGCACGTCTGCACGTTTGGGTGTGTGTGTGGTGTGCGCGCATAAACAGCCTCCAGGAACTGGAGCTGTGGCAACCTGAGACCTTTAGCAGAGGGGCGACCACTAGCCGCCGACGTCGTGATTCAGGGTTATTAGGGAAGGAATTATCTAGGTCTGAGTCATCGCGAGCCTCCAGACTTTCTCCGCAGTGTGGCAGAACTTTGTGCTGATGAGACAATAGTGGAGCGTGTGCGTTTCCTACAGGGCAGACCATTCCTGGGCTGGGGGAAGCCTCGGGCCTGCTCAGGCCGTGGACGCCGGGTCCCCTTCTCTGCACGGTGCAGTCCCTCCGAGCCCTGCTGGCGCCTGGGCCCCCGTGGGGCCGGTAAGTCCCGGGCGCGCGCGCGGCGCGCGGAGGGGGGCCGGGCGCGTGGCGGGTCCCGCGCGTCCTCGCGCGTCCCCCGCGCCAGGGCGCAGCTGGCGCGGTCGGTCTAGAGCAGCGCTCGGCTCCGCGCCGCGGGCGCTCTGCTTCACCTTCAGATGCGCGGGGCGTGCGCGTCCTCCTCCTGGGGCCCGCCGCCTCCCCGCCAAGGTAGGGGCCGAAGGGCGGGGGTGCTTCCTGGCTCAGAGGGGGGAAGACCGACAGGCAAGGCCGGGAAGGTCGGGACCCACTACGTGCGCAAGACCCTGCTGTGCCCCGTGGGGTGGGGGCGCGCTGGGTAGGGGGCGCGCCCTGTAGAAGGTCTCTGGCGCCAGGAGGGCGACTTGGCTTTCTGTGTTGGTAGTTACTCTGCTCTGCAATTCCAGGAGAGGAGAAGATGAAACTTCGGGCGGCAGGGCGAGCGCCCGGGAGGTGGCTTTTACCGCAGTGGAGGGGCGGGGTGGGGGCCGGGGTGGGAGCGCGGAAGAGGCTCTGGCTTTGTACACTTCGTCAAAGGCGACGCGGGAGGAGGGGAGCTCGGATGCGCTCTCATCCATTAGGAGACAAAGAGCAAATTGCCTTACTTTAAAGTAAAACGCTCTGGCTAATGAAGGTGGGTGATGGGCGGCGGGGCCGAAGGAGCCGTTTCAATTATTAAGGGTTTGGCGGAGGGGATCGATGCTTGTGGGCACAGAGCGCCGCTGCCTAGGGGACGTGTTTGCGTATTTGTATTTGGTGGTGGTGGTGAGGGGTGTTCGCACTGTCCCCTCCCCGGACTCCTGCCCGTCAGCGGGGAGATTTGAGTGACCCCCAGCACTGAAGAAGTGGGATCTCTAGAAAGGGAAGTTCGCGTAGGGGTGGGGGCGGGGGCGAGGTTCTGGAAGTGACTCGGAGTGGGCTAGCGGCGGGGACTCCACGGAATTGCGATTTGCCTTGCTGGGCTATGGCAGAGTGGGGGTGGCGGACTTATTGATAACCTTATATGTGTGTATATTTGTACACACACACGGATTACACCCGGGTGTGTGAAAGAGAAGAACGCAGTGGGCTGTATGCTGCGGGGGTGGGGTATGGGTTGGAAAGGCGCCTCCTCTGCCATTTCGAGGGCGAACATACCGAATAGTTAAGATCAGTATTTAGATTAAACCGCCTCGTCAAGTTTTTAAGAAACTTTGTCTGAATAAGTTTGTCAAAAGCCGGCCAGTGGGGGTCTTTAAGCCAGTGGTTCATGGAGGAAGGTCGGTGTGTGATGAGTATCAGGCTTTGTGAGTCGGGAAGCCAGTGGATCCCTGCAATTAGGACTCCAGAGAGCCAGCCTTTTACCCGAAAAATGTAGGTCTGTAAGTCAGCCGCATCCATCACCAGCGTTAACAAGCTCTCCACAGCCGACCAGCTCCCCCAACCCCCAGCTCCGGGGTTGCCTGGCTTGCTGATGAAGAGTCGCTTGGTCTCTGGGTGAGCACCGATCAACTTGCTCGGCTCCTCTTTTTAAAATATATTCATTCGGTGTTGTATTTAATCCAGATGCACAAAAAGCCATCTACTGCTTCATTGTTGGTTTACATTTTTTTTTTTTTTTTGAAAAGGCGACTGGTGTAACCTGTGGAATTTGAAATGCAAATAAAAGCCTGTGGGAGTTGAGGCAGAACAAATCGGCACTTATAAAGTGAAAAAGATTTAATGTCTTTGAAATCATTGCAGGAGAAAAAGAACTGGAGGGGAGGGTGATTATTTCCCCCAGAGAGTGGATTGTGACGTCAGGTCTTTTTGGAAAAGATGTTATTTTTAAGGTCTTGAAGTCCGAGTATGTGAAGTGCTTTACAGGAAAAACAGATTACAAGATTAACATCTGTTAACATGATCGTTTATCTCCAGCCAAAAATAGGTCAGTTCTTTCTTAAGGAAACATGCTTGCTTCAGCAAGCTTAAATAATAAAATAACGACTCGAAAAATTAGTGCCGAACATTTGTTATAATCTGACTCTTGAATACAATTTTTAATTATTAAATCACCCAAAGGTCAAAGTCCTTTTTGGAGTGTTGAGAACAACTCTACTCCGAGTTTACCCGGCCCCATGACTGACCCCCCCCCCCCCTTTACTCCGGGCTCCGTGTTCTGGCTGCCCATTTCCCTTTTCGTCCATTGTGGAGGTACGGGATATATTTAAATGGTATTCTCTGACTCCGGCCTCGATAGGGAGACAGACTCTGCATAGATGGCTAACTTTTCAAAGCTCTGCTGTTGTTTTACCATTAAATGGAACGACACGGAGGGGAAAGAGAGAAAAGAAACTGCCTTGCAAAGTCTCCCTGCCCCTGGGTTTGAGTGACGGCTCTGTCGGCCAATCCGCAGCAGCTTTATCTATCCCGGAGGTAATTTGGGGTGTGTGTGAGCGCGCGCACGCGCGACCACGCGCCCGTGTATCGGCCCAGAGTCGGGCCAGACGCGCGCATCCTCAGGCTCCCGCATTTGCACAGATGTGTGCTGTAGACGTGGACACGCTTTTATCCAAGTCTGTCCAGCTAGATGCGCACGCAGCAGTCCAAGTGGAGACCCTGCCCCCTCCCAACGTCTTCCTGAGAAGACTGGGCAGTAGAGACACTTTCGGATTCAAGTCGAAACCTGCCACATGGAAAGGAAAGAGGAACGATTGATAACACTTCTCAGCCATTGGGAGACCCAGGAGCAGTTTTATCCGCCTGGTTCCAGGCTCTGGTGGGGTCGTGTAGCCACTTGAAGATAGCAAACGTACAGAGGTCGGGATTGTTGAAAAGGATATTAACTCCATATAAAAGTGAAGGGCACCGTTCGTCTTCCAACTTCCAATTTGATTCTCTCAAGGGGAGTGATACTTAGTCCGTGGCAAATTCTAGAACGCGAGCTGTTCATGGTTAATGAAAGTTCTTGTGTCCTCTGGTCTTACCAGTGTCGCGCCCAGGCCGCGACTGCTCCGCACAATGGGTACATTCACGGGCAGAGCGTCACGGGCCACACCACGCTGCCTACTGTCTGAATCCGCTCCACTTAGGAACGTCCGTAGTGATGGGTGACTAGTGCAGCACTCACTTCGCGACTTGAACTGGGGAGCCGGACCTGGACTGCCTAGTTTGTGCTTAAATGCCTGGTCTTTGGGGAACTCTGTGGTCTGCCTTGGGATTCACTAGGGGGTGGTGGTGAAGATGCAGTGTTGGGTTAAATACACGCGTGCGCCTCCCCTTCAAGAGACCCATGTGGGGGCTACAGACCTTGGAAGGCACGGTGTCCACACCATGTCTGCAGTATTTGCATGCACCGAGGTCACCTCGAGGGTGCCCCCGCCCCGAGATTTCCAACTCGGTGACTAGGTGTTGTCAGCCCGGGTATCTCCTCCTACGCGGGCCGTTTCCACCCAACCGGATCGCCACCCCTTTCGGCCCTCTCTCCAATCTCTGCAAGCCCGCGGCTTGAGGAATGGGTATGTCGTTGCATTAAATCATTCCTATTTCTGTGTCCCGGCTGCACGGCGCCGCTGGGGGGGGGGCGTGGGTCTGTGTGGCTGGTGAGAGTTGGGGGGGTGAGGTTGCGCGGGGGCAGGGCACCACCTGCCCGCCCTAGAGGCGTGGCGTGCTGCTGGGGGCGGGACACCCACCTGCCCGTCCCCGGGGCGGGGGCGGCCGCTTGTTGCTGGGCTGCGGGCTGCGGGGGGCGGGCCGTGGGCGGGGCGCTGAAGGGGAGGCCCCGGCCGGCTGCCCCCTCTTCTCGGGCGCCCGCCCCCCGCCCCCGTCATGTGGAACGGACGTCACACGCCTTCACTGTAACCCAAGAAGTGAAAGAGACGGGGACCCGCAGCCCAACTTCGCACCGTAACAAAGGCTTGGGGGTCCGTGCGGGCCGTGGGGCGCGGGCCCTGCGGGGGAGGGGCGTGGGCACGGGAAAAGTGGGGGAGGGGCGGCGAACTCGTGGGGCAGAGGCGTGGGCGTGCGTGGGCGGGGAGGGGTGGCCCGGCCGGGCGGGGGGTTTTACGGAGGCGCGGCGGGGCTTCGCGGCCCAGCACCGCGGGCAGGCCAGGTAATTGGTTTCTATTTTAAACTTCACTTTGTTCTGTTGGAGGTGGGTTGGGGGGGAGACGTCCCCCCACTCTGGGGGGCGGTTATGTAAGTCTCCACACCTGAGTTGGGCCCTGCTTCTCCGGGACGGGAGTGGCCGGTGGGTCCAGAGCGCTGGCGGCTCCGGGGGGAGGGGGGTGCTCTGTGGTCTACGCGAGACCTGATCGATGCCTGGGTGGAGAGGAGGCCCGAATGGACGTTGGGTTATTTCTAGAAGCCCAGATGTGCCCTTGGGCTGGGGCGGGCCTTCCAGGGTGTCCATTGAGTAACAAAGGACCGAGTGCTTGGACCGCTGGTCCACTCGCGGTGCCCACTTAACCAGCAACTCTCGGAAGGAACTTTAGACGGCGTCTTAATTAAAGGTATAGCAGAAAGTCACGTCCCGGTGAACCTACCATTAAGTCTTGAATGTTGATTAAATGTAATTTAAAAATTGATGTGCGTTGACCGGCGTAGAAGCAAAGAGGATAGCTCCCCAGCAGGATCTTTCCAGATTACGTTTTAAACCTCTCTATTAATATGATTGGAGTATTTCGGTTTGGAATGTGTTACTTTAAGGAGCTAGGCATGCTTGCTATTTGATATGATATTCGCTACTGCCCTGTGCACGAGAGTCCATTTTTATCACTCAGTTTTTCCTCGCATTCTTCAATTATTGAGTCAAAATAGCTGTGTATTTTTATTTACACAGACCGGCAAGAATTAAATATACCACAGTACTGTTGTGCATTAACCTAAGGGTCCCCTCCCCACCCCCCCAGCAAAATTAGAGATGGAGTTGAGCTGCCCTGGTGTCAGGGGTGTGAGCTGGGTCACTGGATGGGGACAGCTTTAGTTCCACGAGAGTGACCCCATAGCCATCTCGAATGGGCTCTGGGATAAACTGAGCTCAGGCAAAGACTCACAACTGTTTTGATAATCAAATTAAAATCCTGATGTGTTAAGATAAATACATGTCCAAAATTTTCTTAGTTCATTAGGAGAACTTTGTTTTCTTACACTTGTTAATACTGAAGCCTTCAGAGTACATTAGCATTCAAAAAGAGAAGCCATCCCAGTGGGTCTGTAATAAAGCTCGCTAGAGGAGCAGGCTTGCCTTTCCAAAAGCAAACAAACCCAGTGGCTTGCTCTCTGGCCACTCACTGCTCCCAAAAGTGGACAGAAAGAAGAGAATTTTTATTATTTGTGGTTCTGAACTTTTAAAAACTCGAACGCATAAAATCATCCTAGGGCCCCAGACTTTAACTTTGGTATGTGCATCTGGTAACTAATTGCTGATTTGTCCTCCTGGTAGCTACTTACCTTGAGCACTTACTTGTAAACGCCTGTAGTGCAAACTAAAGTACCTTTAAAAGATTTCCGGGGATGTTGAAATCTTATCCATTTCTTCACTTCCCTCGGAGTCCCAGAGACACCACTGAAGTGGCTTGAGAGAATGCCCCTCCTGCCCCCGCCCCAACGGGTCACTCTGTGTTTCTCCATTTTCATAAATAAAACTTTTAGCTCTGTTTGTCTTACTCGTTCCTACCAGGAGATATCTGAGTTTTATAAGTGGAGCATTTGATGTGATTAAGTTTAGCAACAATTATGTGAAAGAGAAAGAGATTCTTTTAAGAATACTTTGAAGTGGGGAATACTCAAACAGATGGCTCCCAGTCTTCCACTGGGGGACGATGGTAATGTACCCTGGCAACTTAAGTGTTTAGTCATGGCTCCTTCTCGAAAAACCAGTCCTGAGTTGAAGGGGTTATAGATTTTTGTATATTCATACTCCAGGATGTTTTGGCCTTATTCACAATTTACCATAAGGAATCGTTGAAAAAGAATTTTGTGTGTGGTGTTGAGTGCGACTGGAGGTTGTGTGTAGAATTTCAGCTGCATTATACCTTAAGGCCATGGAAATAGGAGCCGAAATGTAAGCTGATTCTGCTGGGCAGTAGAGGAGGGAGCATGCCCTAGCCTGCGCGCTTTTCTTTTACAGTGTTGCTCCTTTAGAGGGTCGCCTGATCACCTCTCTGCTCGGTTTCTTACTCGACTTTCAATTTAGGAGAAAAGGACAGGTGTTAATTGTGGCACACTATAAGAAATCATTTGCTTATACTATCACTAGGTCCACAACCAAAGCAAACATGGCTGTTACTGTGCAGGGGACATATCAGTTTTCACTTTGGTTTTTTTTTCGACTTGGCCATATTTATCCTGAATCGCCCAAATTTCTCTTAGCGGTGCACGTGGACTTGATCCTAATTACTAGAACTTCTGGGAGAAAGGAGAAACACAGTTAGTTAGGTATTTCCTTTATAAACTTTTGATCCTGGGACTATCATTTCTTCCTCAAAAGCACAGTTTACCAAATTCGTGTTTATTATGTTTCAGTGCTTAAGAAAAGCTATTCTGACGCAGTTCTTTTTAAAATGGATCTCTTTGTTAGCCCCCCTCCCCTGGAGTTCTGGAAACTTCGGGGAAAATCCCCTACCTCCCATCTTCCTGAGCATGCAACCCCCCTCTCCCCGACCCCCCCAGCTGAGTTGGGAGTCCACCAGAGTTTTACTTGGTGCCTCACTAGGCTTCTCCAGGCTGCTTACAATTCGGCACCTTTGACCTTAGCTTCCAGATTTATTCACGTGGAAGCGTGAGGGACTAATTTCAATTACTCTGTAGCTGGCAGGGGAGGCGAGCGACCCCTCTGGTGCTTCTTGGAACTGCATCTCCTCAGGAGCTGCGTTTTCCCAGCAAGCCCAGCTTCAGGATGTAAGGCTGTTCTGAAGCCCGAGGAAGGAAGAAGGGGCTTCTGAAATCCGAAGCTGTTTGCATCTCTGACTGAAAGGAACCTGGAGAGGCCGAGAGGCAGGTGTGAATGTGGACTCTGGAGATGCTCAGGGGCTGTGGGTAGGGTTTTACTCTTGTCCACCTTTGCTGTGACTGGTCCTGTGGGGCCCCGATCCCAACCTCTCTGCACCACACTGCCTGGAGTGTCTGAGTGTTGAAGCAGCCACCTGTTCAGGGTGTAGAGTATCAGGGGGCGTCAGAGGGGCAGCGCTTTCCGCCCAGGGCCTGGCCCTCATCCTCCCTTCCCTCACTAGCAGGGAGTTTTGCTGCTGGAGGGGAGATAAGACCTTTTTCTTATTTGTTCCGAGAGAGCACTCTCCTGTCCTGTCCTGGGCAGGAGTCTTCTTGTCTTTGGAAGCCAGCTATGATTATTTCAGAATTTTCAAGAATTTTTGAAAATTACCAGAAACCCAATTTAAGAAAGGAATCCTATCTAGTGTTTCTAGTTTTGGTGGATTTATTATTAATAAAATTAACCTTATGGAAGGACACATGAAGGGAGACATTGCGAATTTGGAATGTTTATTCGAGTCTTACAAAAACAAAACCAAAATAAAAAAAAACCAAAACAAACAAAAAAATCCCTCTATTTTAAAGCAATTTTTTTTCCAAGGAGATCCAAGGAGACATAGTTCGGGCATATGAGTATATTTCTGGGACTGTAAATGTCCTGGCCTTTCTCCTGAGGTAAATGAGGTATATTTCTGAAGGATTGGGGGAAATTGGCAGTTGCAACTGTCCTCTTTGCCTTCTTTATCCCCTGTATCTGCCTACACGTGACACCAGCAGCTGTGGCCTTCCCTGCCAGACCGAGAGCGGTGGTGTTTGTGTGGAAGGAGCCG